CCTTTAATTAATCAAAGAGCTTTTCACACAGCACTGTGCAATATTTTGTTTCCTAACGTCCCTGCTCCGGTGTACTAGGTCTGTTGTAACATTTCTTACCCAATTCCAGCACTGAGGGCTATGCAGCCAAGAAGAAGATGGATCACATGTGTGGAAATCTTCAGCGTTGTCTCCAGAGGTGACTGCCAAGGAATCAGAAGCTGAATTAATCAGAGCTTCACAAAGAGATTTGGGAAAACAAAACAAAAATAAAAAAGAACCAGACAACAAATGAAAACAACCTCAAGAAGAAAACAGGAAGAAGTCAGCAGATTTCCTGGGGTTTTACTTACGAAGCTCAGGAAAAACTGGAGGACATCAGAGAATCTCCTAAAACTCTGGGAAACACCTTGCTAGAGTTCACTGTTCTAGGACAGAGATGAAAATCCTTTCCAAGGGGCTACCATAACATCTTCCCCTTCAAACCCTCTGCCCAGTTTCATGTTGGTGCTGCTGATGGGGAAAAGGGGAGTGCAGGTAAAGCCTGGAGATGGCTGGGCCGAATGCTGAACACCTGAACAGAAGTGCCTGAAAAACGCCTGTGCACACCTGAGAGCTGAGCAGCCTTGCTACACCTTTGAGTGCAAATGGGTACTTCTTTCCAGGCCCCCTGAACATTGTGGCAACCCCAGCCAGGAAAACTGGAACCTGGGGACCGAGGAAGGGGTGAGCAGCGGGGGTGACTTGCTGCCGAGCAGAGAGGTGGCCCCGCACAAGCACTGCCCATGACTGCCAGCACAGCACCGTTCTCCACCCGCCAGCCACGGTGGGTGCCATCCTTGCTTCTCCTTGGGGGCTGCACACCGTCTCCATGGCACAGCCCCGAGCTGCAGCAGGTGCCTGCCCAGCGCTGGGGGCTCTTCTCACATTTGGCTTCCCCAGAGCAGGACCCGCATGTGCCAGGGCGAGCTCTGAAAGACGCACCATCAAACTGGGGTGCAGCAGCTCGCAGCCCCCGGGCGAGCCCCCGGGGCCGGGCCTGGCGGGGCGCTGGGCTCCGCGCAGAGAGTCACCATCTAAGGGCACAGCTTCAGCCTTCTTGCACCTAAGGGCTGCCTGGGGTGAGAGGCGTCATCTCTCCTGGTTTGCCAGGTGATGGGCTTTGGTCTTCATCTTCTGAATTTCTCATTTGTGCTGGAGCTGGTTGAGATGGGCACAATATTGGGGGGTTCCCTGTGTGCATAGCAAAGCAGCTTTCCCAAGGGCGGCCGCAGGAAGATTTGTTTTGCAACACCAAGAATTCACTCGCTTATTCTGCACATGTAAAATAAACAAACAGGGAAGGGAAGGGAAGGGAAGGGAAGGGAAGGGAAGGGAAGGGAAGGGAAGGGAAGGGAAGGGAAGGGAAGGGAAGGGAAGGGAAGGGAAGGGAAGGGAAGGGAAGGGAAGGGAAGGGAAGGGAAGGGAAGGGAAGGGAAGGGAAGGGAAGGGAAGGGAAGGGAAGGGAAGGGAAGGGAAGGGAAGGGAAGGGAAGGGAAGGGAAGGGAAGGGAAGGGAAGGGAAGGGAAGGGAAGGGAAGGGAAGGGAAGGGAAGGGAAGGGAAGGGAAGGGAAGGGAAGGGAAGGGTTTACAAACGCGTGCCCAGGCTGTGAGCGCCCGTGGGGCCGAGCGAGGCTGCGGGGCCGCGCGGGGCCGCCAGGGGGCAGTGGCCGCCCGGCAGCGCCTTGGGCTCTTCCCTCTTTTTTGTGATTTTCGTGATTTTTGTGATTTGTTTGCTCCGCAAATCCCCTCGACAGGGAACCCACGCGGTGGGAGACGATGGACACGGGAGAGTCCTGGCTTCTGTGCAGCCAGCTCGCACCTTGTCTCAATTGTTTTGGTTTTTTTTGTTTTTTTTAATAAAAGTTTGGATCTCTTCTCCTCTCGAGACACTCTGTGAGACTGCTGGCAGCTGAACAGAAGAGGAGAAGCACCATCTCTTCCCCAGGCTTGCAGATTTGTTTCATTGTTCCCCTTAGCCCCACACCAGCCCCTTTGCTGCACACGGCTGTGCCATGACAGTGTCTCCCGCAGCACAACCACAAGATTTTGGAACTCAGCAAAGCTGATTGCACGGACAGAGCCACCCTGCTAAATACTAACAAACAAGCTTAGTCTTCCCTTGGCCTTGATGCAGGCAATAATGAGACTGCATCTTCTAGGGCATGATTCAGAGTGGGAATCTAATATGCCCTGAATGGCTCCCCAGGGACTTTCTTGCCACTGATGATGCAGAGAGCCTAATCTCCTTCCCTAGGCTGTTGGGAGAGACAATGTAAGCATCTACCTTGCATGCTGTAATGGTTGGTATCAGCCCAGCTGCTGGTGAGTAATTGCTGAGCATGCCAGCAGGCACACACCTCCTGTTGGAGCACGTATCCCCATCATCCGGGGAAGTGGCACAGCCAAAAAGCCACTGGCTGCTGTGCCCACATTACCACAAAGGCAAAGGGCAGTGCACTGCAACACTGGTGAGAAAATCAGCAGTGACCCTCACCAAACAATAGAGCACTCAAATCGAAATCCAGCGGTCCATGGGCCTCTTATGGATATTGCTGTGGGAGCAGGGTGGGGCATGGCACTGGTGTGACTGCAGTCACCAAGGCAGAAGCACACTGGGCACAACCAATGTCCTCAGGTGTAGCAGGGACCCTTCTGGCCTTGGCTTCAATGCTACAGGTACCCAACCACTGTATACCACCCTCAGTGATACCTCTCAGTGCTCATCCGTGCCCTGGACCTGTAGCTGCAGATCCCTTGTCCTGTCCCAATTCCTGCATCCCCTGCCCCCTAATCCCACAAAGACTTTCCTTTACTCACCTGTGGCCCCAGGCACCTGGCTTATTTCATGAAGGCAGAGCTGATGTTCCTAAGAATAAAACATACAGCACTAGGAGTGTTTGCAAGGAAGTCAAAACATTTTAACAAAACCAGTTAATCCTCCGAACCCTCCCCCAAATAAATGGCTTTAACCAGTTTGAGCCAAGAAAGTCCATAGCAACACTCACCCTGCAGCAGGACAAAGGACAACTACAGCATACCTCTGAATAAAATTTTGGCTCCTTCATCTCAGGGAAGCAAGCTGGGAGAAAGCCACAGCCAGTCCTTGCCAGCAGAGCATAAAGATTAGCTTCTCCTTCCTGTTTATTTGACCTTCATGGCCAATGTATCCAAATATCAACAATAAGGCTCCAAACCTCCAGCATCCACCTTCTGGTATGTGCTCAGGAAGACAATTCTGCCACGGGTCACAGAGAAGCAAAACAACTGAGGACCCAGAAACCACGAGCTGGAGCCTGGCAGGCAGAGGAGCTGTTTGCCAAAGCTCCGTGGCACAGGCTCAGCACAGGCACAGCCCACGGGGGCCAGGCAGGGCAGCCCTGCCACAGCTCCCCACGCAAATGACAAGAGGCACACATTCCAAAGCTCCGTAAATCAGAAGGGCAAACAGCCCAAGCTCCGACTCCCTGCAGGGCTGGGCTGCCCACATGGTTTTCCCATGGAGAAACAACTTGGGAAGAGGCAGAGTGGGAGGCCGGGTCCTGCAATCCTTGCCCCATGGCACAGGCAGCTGCTCTGCCATCAGGAAGGGGGTTTGCTAAGGCACACAGGACAGGAAGAACGTGATGAGCAAGGCACCCTCCACAGGCTCCACTCAGACACTTGCCAAGTGTTGTTGCATCCGGGTAAGCTTCATTCCAGGGGACTGCTAGCTTCAGCACACTTAGGACTAACAGCAGAGAAGGACATGCACGTCTTCAGAGGTCCAGCCAGGCTTGCAAAACACAGCTGGAAGCTTGTAATGGATCCCTGCCCTGAAAACTTTGTGCTTGTCTACAAAGCATCCCAATATGCAAACCTCTGCTGTAACCTAAGCAATGTAGAGGTTCCACACTTCAGCATGGATCACAGCAGTCAGAAATGACAACCATATTTGAAGCCTACCTGTTCAATGGAAACTGAAATCTTGTTCTACATGATCCAATCCACTCATCTAGAGGCAGAATCCAACAGCTGAAACAGCAAATTCTCACAGCTATTCTAGCAGCACTTCTGTCTTTTGAGACCAACATACTAATTTTTAATACCACATTCAGGCAGTTCCTGACTGCCAGGGTACAACCAGGGTGCTGTTACTTCTGGATATTGGTATCTGGAGTCAACTACTTCTCTAATTTGGGAAACGGAAAAAGCAACAGCAATCAGAACCAAATAAATCAGGCAGGCATTCCCTACCCCAATTAAACCAGCTCCCAAGGGAGGTTGAGGCAGCCTCTTCTTTTAAGACCTTTGTAGGGCTTTCTTTCCACTCTCCCCGTTCCTAAGCATCCTCCCCCAACCATAACCCATAAAAATTCTAAGACAGCTGTGGGGCCCCTGTCAAAAACCGGATGAAGCTGGGCTGTTAATGTGGTGGCTCATAAACAGAATTAAGCCCCAGCTGATGGAGGGGACTCCATTCCCATCCCCTTCAGGACAACCACCCCACCAGTTCTGACCTGGTTCTTCAAATCCTTGGAAGAAAAATTGAGATGCAAAGAAGGAAATGGCTTTGCTAGGATGCACAGGGTGATGCATAAAGCCTTTGGTGTAAGGCTATTTCCCAACTGTGGACATCAGAAGACACCACTGATCCTGCCTGCTCCAAGCACACACACCCTCCCTCCAGCAGGACATGGAATGTGGGGTGCTAACTGGTTCCCTGCTCAGAAATAAAGTATGGAAATTTGATGAAAGGCCAAAAAAGAGCCATGCCAAATGCTGAAGACCTCATGGTTCAGCAAGAGGCTTACAGAGCTGACCTGCTGCATCTGTCAGAAGGGCAGCAGAGGGATATGCGATGACACTTTGGACCACATAGATTCTGTGGGGACAGAAAACTGCACCCATGGGCAAAGGTGACACTAAACCCCAGCTGCTCAGAGGAGGACATTTCCAAGAAGGCGCACAGGGAGGAAGAGAAGTTGCTTGGGAATTCAGCATCATTTTCAGTTCTGGCTTTTATTTTCATTCACTTCAACAACAAGGTGTTCGAACACACAGAGACGCGCCTTGGTCCGGGTAACATGGTCATTGCTACAAGCATTGCCAGATTCTCAGCTCCATTAAGCCATAACACTTTGATGCATCAAAACAAAACAAAATCACAGCTCTACAGGGGAGGGCAAAAGCTACAGCAGTTCAAAGTCACTTGAAGATTCCAGTTATACAGAAGTGGGCTCCAGAGTGGCATACAGTGGAAAGAAGGTTTTCACAGCATATATATTAATCATTAGTGATGCAGCAGAAAAGCTCCATCTCACTGCTGAGTTGAAAAGCAGATACTGAAGTTCTTGTACCGATTCTGGGCACAGCATTAACGGCACAGCATTATAGTCAGAAGCTCCCTGGATCCTAAAAGTGTCATTTGTATGTATGTATGTACAATACTGAAGCAGCTCAGAAGGACTACACAATGGAGATGCAAAACCTTGGAGGTGAGAAGGGCACAGCCTAATTCACCTCCAGGGATTTGTAAAGTATCTACTCTAACTCCTTCCCCATGCTAACACTGCCCTGCTGAATTAATCATTGCATCAAGTCAAGAACAGAACTACTCTTGTGTTTTGTACCATATAGAAAAAAATGAAGAGCTATAGCAATTTCTCACACTGAGCATGTTAAATACTTTGAAATCTAGGACACTGCTCTTTGAAGTGTTACAAAATAAAATGATACCACAGGCTTTCAGTAGGTGCTTGCTCCCCCCTCAACTGCAAAGTAACACAGTAATCTCAGTATGAAAAATACAAATATATTCATCCAGTGACTGGCTGTTTGTTACATGATTTGTAACTGCACGCCTTCTGCATAAAAATAATAATTAAAAACAGAAAAACAAACAACAACATTTAATTGTGGTTCTGTCAGCCCAGTCGCCCAAGAAGAAATAAATCTGATCATGTTGCACTGTAGGAAAACAAAAAATCATACATACAAAAATATTTATATACAAACTTGACAGTGTAATCATCTGGCGTTAGCATTCATGGCTAACCAAAAGAGGCTTGCAGAGCCACCAAAAGGCAGTCTTTGAATGCAACACAGATCTGGCACAACAGACAGATGGAGGATACTAACCATATCATGCTTAAATGAAATATGTGACACAGAGCAGGGCCCACAAACAGCCACTGCATTGAGACAGGAATATTAATCCGTAGTAAGGTAGGATAACGAGTCATTTAAGTTGCTTTTGTAATCCCTCTCCCTCCAAAAAAAAAAAAAAAGAAAAAAGAAGTCAGGCTTACTGTTAAAAAGAACAAGCCAACTTGAAATCAGCTGTGCAGAGCCTTGCTCCTCAGCTTAAGTCGTATACCTTAGAGTCTCACTCAGTACTTTGGCTAATATAAATGTGAAAACACACATTGTTCAGTTATTTGTCCACAGGAGCACTGGCAGTCAGAGGAAATGCCTCAGAGCACAACTATGGTAGAATGAGTAAAAAAAAAAGAAACAGAAAAATCAATTTCTCATGTAAACATGGCTTACTGCGGTAACAACACTCATAGTTCCCAGAAATGCTCTTTGTTTTAAGGCAGCTTATGGTTTTTCTTCTAGTTCCATGTCACTCAACCTATAGCAACAAACACAACAGGTTCCGACCCATTACAGATATATCTAAAGACAAGCCTGGCTTCCTCCCAAGTAATCTAGCAAGGTCCAAACAAAAGGTTTTCTGAGTTTAGGATAGCTGAAGTCCTACAAACCAGTGTGCAGCTCTCACTCTTCCATTTAACTGAGGCTAGGTGGGCAAATCCTTATGCTAAACTAGCCAGGCTGAATGCTTGGCAAAGCCTAATTCTGTAGTTTAAATGTCAGTGGTATCACGGCAGGGTTAAAGGTCAGGTGGGGACAGAATTCAAGGGTAACCTGCACCTTTATTTACACTTCCAAGCCTGAAGGATGCCAACCAGGACATACATATGAATGTATACCCAAAACAAGGAGAGACAGCTGGCTTGGCTTTTCCAGAGAAGGCGAGGCAAAAGGAAGATGGATGCAGGTGCTGAAGTGCGGCCTGCCCAGCAAAGTGCATGTGCTGTCTCCGCTGGAGAATATTACTCATGAACAGAGCACTCAGCTCCATGGGAAGAGGCTGTTTAAGTGCAGCGTTCGGCAGACCGATTCCCATTTACTTTTCAGATAAACTGTCAGTTCAAAGTTGTGTTGTTTTGTGTTTTTTATATTTAGTTTTGCTGTTGCAGTGTGTCTGGATACTTGGGTTGTTTTTTTTTTCCCCCAGAGTTTTGGGGTTTTTGGGGGCTTTTTAGAATTTTATTTCAACCTTCCGGCTTTACAAAGTGGGAGAGCTGGGCGAGAGAAACACATTTCAGGTCAGGGCACCCATAAGGTGTGTGAGGATTCAAAAGTCAAGAAAAGAAGCCCTCTCCCCAAAGGAAAACACAAAACAAGTTGGCCTTCTCAAGAAGGTCAATGGTAGTCAAAGAAATACCACCCACCTTCCCCCTTTGCTCAGCTCTTCCCCTTGCAAGAGCTGGGGTGGAGGCTGCAGTCCAGGAGCACGACCTGGACAGCACCCAGGGCATGACCTAGCAGGAGTGAGCAGGAAGGTTCTCTCCACGCTCCGTCCGGGGTGCAGTACCAAGCAGAAGGAAGACAAATGAAGGGCTGAGCAGTTCGTGGCTGGGGCGGGGTGGAGGGGGGCCCGCGGCTCTCACTCCCCCTCCTCTTTGATGCGTTGCTGTTTGTTGCGCCGGGCATCCATGTCGAAGTTGAAGTCATTCCACTCGTCGCGGGGCGGGAAGGAGATGGTCTGGCGCAGCGTGAAGCGCACGGCGTCGATGACCCGCTCCCCGCGCGTCTCGCTCGAGCCCACGCTCACCGTGGAGGCGCCGCTGGGGGTGCGCAGCAGGTGGGGAGGGGAGGAGAAGTCATGGAGCTGCCGGTGGTCCAGGATGCCCTTCCAGATGGCATGGCGGAACTGCTCCGGGATCTTGAGGCTCACCAGATCCTGCAAAGCAAAGCGCAGGGCTTAGCAGGGGAATCCCGGGGCAAGCTGGGCTCCAGGAGTGAACACAGCCTCTGGGCCACCAAGGGCCACCAAAGCTGTAAAACCCAGGTGGCCACGATGCACAGCAGAAGACAAACCACTACTCCTGGAGGTAGCGGCTCACTCCTGAACAGGCATGTGTGGCCACAAGGCAGCAGCGGCCTGTTTTGAAGGCACAAAGTCTACTTTTAAGTTGCACAAAACACTTGTTCATGCATAAGACGTGGTGCCCTAAAGCTAGAAGCTTAACTGGACTGCAAGGCCTCCAAGACAACCTCAGAGAGATCTGCTGGCTGTCAGTGGTGGAGGATGCTGAAGGTCAATGGCCTTGAAAATTTCCATGTTAAATAAAAGGCCTGCAAAAGGATTTTAGAATCCAACTCTGAGTTCTAGTATCCAGAGCTCTGGGTGTGACTCTATAGGAACTGTCTTAATTATTTCAACATAACCAAATTTAGTAACAGACACATAGCCTTAAAAAACCTGTACTTTGAGGCCCCATAATTTCTGGTGCAAAACCTGAGGGTTGCATTACCTAAACTCTGGGATACACGGTATCAGCTTCTGAAAAAGTTAGTAACCAACTTTGGTTAATTTGGGTCAGCTTTTCTAATTAGAGCAGCAGCAGAAGGAAGCGAGCCCATGCTAGGAAGCAAAAGCACCACAGTCTCCCAAAGTCTCGGAGAAAAAAACAAAAACAGGACAGCCAGCTCAGAATAGAGCAACGGCCCTGGAGAAGAAGCAGCAACCCTGCAGCAAAAGCCATGCAAGAGTAAAAAAGTGAAAACAACAAACAGGGATGAGGTACCAGTGGCAAGGCAAGATGATTAAGGTAAGGCCAGAAAAGGGCAGGGAGGGAAAATTGCAGACCACTTCTGGAGAGCCTACTTGTCTGCAGGCGAGTGAGGTGTAAACTGAAACCGAGCCCTGCAGAATTAACAGGCACTGGGCTGGGGCCACTTCAGGGGCTCAGACAGACAGAGCTGGGCAAGGGGAGACACTCTTCCTCTGTGCCAGGCAAGGCAGTTGCAGTGCTGGCCCCAAATCCAGCCTCTCTTCACCTCACAACATCTCTACTCTATGCGCAACAGCCTTAAATCAAACGAATCATGTAAGAACAAAAGTGTACTCAGTCTGGATTTCTGACCTGTTCCTAAAGCAGGGCCAAGAGCACAAACAAAGGAAATGGTGAGGAGTTACTTACATCCATGGAGTAATGCTCAATCTGATAGATGGTGGTCAGCCCCTGGGTCGTGAAATAATCCACACAGGATGAGCAGCCCAACCTCGCTAAGAAGCTGCAGAGGAGGAAGGAAGGAAGGAGAGAGAAAATAGGATCACCCTGGCTGCAACAGCCCAAACCACAGAAAAACCAAACACTCAGCCAATCTGCAGCAACAGGAAACAAAGCTTTCACCCTTGGCTTGACCTCCTCCAAGACATCCCAGGCCAGCAAGCCACATCACTGCCACATCAAACAAACGAGGGAGTCCTTCAGCTCAGCACCCAGCAGACAGCCCTCATGGCAGCATCTTGCCTAAGTCAAGAGCCGGTGCTGCACAGCCTGGGTCTTGAGGCAGGAGGGCTCACACAGACCCTCCTGCCAGGTCACATCACCCAGAAGGTGGCTGAGCCCACGGCAGCCTGGTGCATGCACAGAGGGCTTTAGCAAGGCATGGGGTCCAGGGCTTAGACACATCATGCACTACCAATCAGCACCTTCTTCCCTAAGTGTAAAGGATTCCTCATTTATGGGCAGCATCTTTCAACTGGTTTGACCTCACAAAGGGCAGAGGGGCTTCTGATCCCAGCCATGGCTTGTCAAAGGGCCAGAGGGGAAAAAAAGAAAACCAAGGAATGTTTGCAAGACAGCCTGGCACCCTCAAACTCCACCAGTCCAACAGATGCCGCATCCCTCAGCTCTCTAGCAGTCCTAACATCCCTGTTTCTCTCATCTGCTCAGAGGTGGGGATTTGAGGCTCAGTGCCCAGAGGGTGCCAGCCTCAGGACAGCCAAGAGCCCAGTGGTGCTCCAGACCCAAGGGCTCTGCTGCCTTGGTGTGGGCAGTGTGCTGGGCAGCCTGCTCCCGCTCACCTGACGATGCTGCAGTCTGAGGGGTATGGAGGAGGGGGGGTGCAGTGGGACGTTGAAGGCATGGAGAGGGGAGGAGGCAGCGCCTGCGTGGGGCTGAGGCCATTCATGTCACCGGTCATGGCCATGTGGGTGCCCATCATGGGAACTGGAGGAGAGAAGAAGGAGGAGCACATTGTTACCCAGGCACGCCCAGACCCTGGCTTTGCCCCCAGCACGGCACCCAGGACAGCACCCACAGCTGAAGCAGCCTGAAATCCCCTGTAAAACCCTGCACAGGGCGAGCTCATGAGAAGTTTCAGGCAGGGCCAAGGACCAGATGACAGAGTCCTTCTGGCGCTCTCCCCTCACAGGAGAAAGTGCCACTGTCGCCTCACCTTCCCTCCCAGACAGGCTGGATAGAAAGCCTGGCTTGCCCTGCCACAGGAGAGGAGCAGCACAGAGCCAGCAGAGTAACCTAATACAGCAGCCAAACAGCTTTGTTTTCAGAGACAGCAAGAGCACCAGAAGGGGCTCAGCAACAGGTGTGGGCAAGAGTCCAGCTGTTTTGAAATAAATTTAAAAAAAAAAAACACCAACCAAAAAAGCCTCAACAAAACTCAGCCCCACAACCATGTCTGTCATCCTGGATTTACAGGGCTGCTGAGCACACAGCAGCAGCCAGGAGGAATAGAACTGTGAGATGTTTCCTTCAAAATTAAAAACTGTCTTAATTGAACTGAGGGAAAAAAATGCTGCCAACGTTTGCATCTTCTCTGCTGGGAAAGGAAGAAGAAACAAGTCTCGAAAGCCAGAGGACAGTGCAGCCAGCTAGATCTGCAGCAAGAAGCAGCTCTGATCACCCTGTGAGGCTCTGAGCAGGATGCTGAAGCCTTGCCCCGTGGCACAGCAGCGAGCAATATTTATTTGGCTCTGTAGGTTTACAGCGAATGACTCCAGGCTCTCCAGCTTAACAGTAGCCCTGTGGAGATGCCAAGTTTCCTTGTCCAGACTAGCAGGGAGCACGCAGGCAACAGGAGAAGGAGGAATAAGAGTTTCTTACTGTTGGTTCCCATGCTGTCGGGGATGGTGGTTGGGGTCAGGGCGTTGCGCTGCTGGGGGTTGATGAGCTGGCTGACCGAGGGCAGCTTGTTCATGCTGTTCATTTTGCTGAGTGGTGGAGAGTTGGAGCCATAGGAGGACTGCGACTGCATGGAGGTCCTGTAAACCAAGGAGATGTTAGGGCAGGGATCACAGCAGCTAGTTGCTGAGAGTGTGCACCCAAGGGGATACCTGGCCAGTGAAATCACTGATGCCATAGGATCATCACAGATAAAGATCCTTGGAGAATGAGTCAGCAGGAAATAAGAGGTTTCCCAGATAGTCTCAGCACTTTTAAAAAGTGAAATACCAAAAAAAAGAAAAGCTTAATTTTTGGTTGAAACTTCTTATTTAAGGAGAAGTGTCTATGCAAGTTTTTCAGTTCTAAAGAATATATGGAATGCCAGCAAACATGTGCCAAGATTTGAAGAATATTTTTATGTTAAACCTCTCCTTGTAGTCAAAAACTTTTTCAAATGAACAAGAACTGAGGAAACCATCCCAAACCATCCTAAATGTCCCTGAAACCTGACTGCAGAAATAGTTTTCAGACTGGGTCATGCTTACCACCTTGTTTTTTTTCAAAATTCCTAGTTATAACAGCCAGAGGCTCCTTGCTCAAGGCAGATTCCATGCACTTTAGGGACCACTACAGAGATGGTCAGAGCTGCCTGGGATGCCAACAGGCAGCTTTTGCTGGTGTTAAGGCAAACCTGGTATCCAAACCCTGTATGCTGCTTGCAAAGAGGATCAGGTTCCTGCTACCACCAACAACAGCACTAGCCTCCCTCAAGTCCATTCAGCCCCAAACTCCATCCAGCATATTCATGGAGTGGGCCAGAGAGGCTTGCCAGAGCCCCCACTGCCCAGCCCCGAGGGTCCCAGCTGCAATCCTGCCAAGTAAGTGACCCAGACTGCCAAGACTGGGCTGCTTCTGAACAGCAGCCCAGCTCCCAGATCGAGTTACGGCTCTGGCATCCCATCTGGAGTGGGGTCTTATGTGGGACATGCAGAAAATTATCATTAAAGCTGGTCCAACAGCACAGTTGGCATAGCACTGCCATGCCACAAGGACTCCCTTTTTTCTCTGACACCGGGGGCATTTGTAGGACTGGGCAAAGGTTTGGGAAATGTGCCTGTTCCCAGGCACAAGTAGCCTCCAGCTGTGGTCACCCTGCAGAGCAGAAGTCACCCAGCTTGCCACAGAGCCCAGCACTCCTATCACACTGACCCCATGGTGAGTGTCCAAGGGCACATTCCCATCTTATTTCCCATTGGGAAACTTGTTCCCATCTGGGTATAACTGGTTACACCAATTCCTGGGAACTGGCTTTTCTTCTATGCAAATAAAATAATTATTACTCCAAATAACCAAAGTGTAAAAGGAAAGAAAAGGCTTATTCCTAGACAATTTATTAAAACCTTCAGCATTCAAGGTCAAGTTCCATACAATTACATTATCTCCAGCTTCCTGCACTTTCAAGACTTGCAGTGCTGGGTGGAGAAAACATCCATGCTAACAGGCTGGAGTATCTAAGGCCCTGAAGAAATGTTACCTAATTACACAATTACAGGAGGTACAGAAGGGTGTGAACTGTCCTTTGGCAGTGAAGATGCAGGACAAGATCCAGCAAACTTCACAGACTCAAGGAAGTGGAAAGCACAAGAAGCTTCACAAATTAATATTAACAATGGCAGCAGCTCCCAAGGGGAAGTGAAACCGAGCCATGAAGTTCAGACCTAACTTTCCAGAGTGAAGGGAAAGATTCAGATCTGACATTTCAATTCCCCAATTATGAAAGTTGAGGCCAGCCATGAAATTCAAGTCAAGTTGACACCGCCCTTAGCCTAAAACGCTTCTGGATTTAGGACCAGTGAGTATTTCTTCTTCATGGGTTCAGGCACTTATATTAACTAAGCTTCAGCTGAAATTAATACACACCTGAAGAGTCTCTAATGGCAAAATCTGCATGATCTGCAAGGTCGTGAGGAGGTCAATGAACACTGCAAAATTCCAAATCAAATCAACAAAGGCTTCCCAAAGGACAGAGTTGCACTGTTTGAGGTCAGCAGTGGGCCTATCTTTGCCCTCTCCATCACCAAAGCTAATTAGGAGACTACAAAATACTTTGTGGGTAAAACAAAAACAAAAGGCAATCAAACACAAGCCAGCCCAAAACTTCAGAAAACACTTTAGAAAACAAAGCTATACTTTAACATATAGCTTAGGGACTCCATGCTCATCCCATTCATCCTCCTAAGATTAATATGATCACGTTCAAGAAAATAAAACAAAACAAAAGCATTTTTCTTTGTACCCACACTAGTTTCAACTAAGCCATTCCATCACATGAGCAGATGTTTAAAAGGCCTACAGAAAGTCATCTAGCCAAAAAGAAGTCTCAAGATAAACCAAGATGAAAAATTTTATTGAAAATTAATGTCACACATCAATATAGCAAGAGCCTTAGAAACACAAGAAAATGGTTTTTATATTAAGCACAAGGACTACATGGTGCTTGAGGACCCATTTAAAATATATTGCTTTTTTTTTTTTCCTTGATTTTTAGAAACAGATATAAGAATGTCATGCACACTGATTTTCATTAAAATTTTACTAAGTCTCAAGAAAGATTAGAAGTCAGCATTAACATTTCTTTGATATCAATGCCAATGAAATGCATTTTAATATCAAGGTATAAGGACTTCAATTAAGAGACTATTATACTTCTTGGAACAGTCTGATACAAAAGGCACTGAGTCACATTCTGCAACTGAGTTTTCTCTCTTCAAGAGGCTATGTAATTATTGAGCAAATAACATTTGTAGTTACGCAAGCTCATATGAGGGCAATCAGTCTCCCATGCTTCAAGGCATATACTGATCATCTCAAGAGGTCAGGAAGGAACTTTCTTGTCCCATATATGAACAAAATTCAGTTCATAGTCTTGTATAACTCTGCATTTTCCCAGCTCATGGATACCAGCCCTTCACCAGAGGCAGCAAATTGCTGGGACAGACCAACTACCTGACTGAGCAGACCAGAGTCCTCGTTGGCTAGAGGAGCACACAGCCATGTAAGCAGCCTTAAATGACGTCAAAAGTTAATTAAATGCTATTGGGCAGATCAGGCTCAGAGTTTAAGATTCCACCCAAGCCCCTGTGCCTGCAGTTTGCTGTCCCTGCAGACTCAGAGACAGACAAGTAGAATCAGAGCTGGCCAGTTCTGTGTCTGTCCTCTCAGCAGCCACACCAAGGATCACATCCCAGGCTCACACAAGGCCAGTGTGCTCACGGACAAGGATCTTTAAAGCAAGGTTTCCCACAGGTCTGTGTAGCACTGGGGTGTCACTGATGGAGTCCAATAACAGCACACAAGTGACACAGACGTGCTCAGTTTCATTCATCTGCTTTGAAAGGCCATGAAGCAGCAGGATGCTGAATAGCAGAGAGATGTCCTCATTGCCCCCATCCCAAACTGCTTCAACTCTAAAGCAAACAACAGTGAATCTTTTCAATCACTCCCGTGGATTGAAGGCTTGGTACCTCACTGGGAGCATGGAAAGGAGGAGCTCCAGTAGTTACTGGGCAGACAGGAGCTACAGCACAGGGCAAGGGGTGGCAATAATGACTCCCCTTAGATTTCAGGTATGGGAATTTCTCAAGGCAGGCCATGAATGCAATCTGCTCTTCAGGGAATGGAGCTACAATACAGGGAGTGGATATATATCAAGTAGCTGACACAGACTGATATAACCTGAGTACCTGATAAGGCTCAATTAGTCCACTTGGTTATTCCTTGAAAGGAAAAGGCTTATTTTCCTGAAGACACAGAGATGGCAAGGAAGCAATGAAAAGACAGCTGGGATAAAGTTTTCATTTTATCTCTAGAGGACAGACTACAAAGCAACTCAAATTGCTTTCAGCTCCAGGTATTTGATAAAAGAAAAAAAGAATAGCACCTTCTAATATAACCACCTGCTAGTTGGAAAGCAAATCAAGTCACCACTAAGATCAGCATCACAATCATCATCCTCTTATAGCCAAGTAGGACAAATCAGAAAGGCATTCCAGAAAACAATAGGATCCAAATAATTTACATTCTTGTTTAGTGGAAGTCTGAGATGTTGTATTGCCCATTACAGTACAAGGCATTTCCTAGAGGACACACCAAAGGATGAACTGGAATCTTCCAGTGTAGGCTGTGGATGCCTCCTCAAACTTGCTGGTGAACAGGTCCAGGAGCAGTGCTCTAAATACAGTTCAGTATTTTCCTGTCCCATATTGCCATCCAGAAGCAGAAAATCCAAAAATCTAGGAATAAACCTTCACTGGAAGAACAGAAAACAGTGCCAAACATAATCCTGTGTCTGGACTGCATTTACAGTTCAGATTCCCACCTCTCACAGGGAAAGGAATCATATTGCCTTTCTTTTCCCAAATAAAAAGGCACAGAACAATAGTGACCTGCTTTGTGATCTCAAAGAACTTCCTGGAATTTCTAGGCAAGGTAACAAGGCACTTGATTTTGATTATCTTTACACAAGGAAGGATCATAGAGCTGCAGCTGTATGAAATAGGCACTGCTAGTGCTTAATTAGCTGATATTTATATACTCAACCCCAGTTTTGGGGGCTCTTTTCCATCAGCCCTCCTCCACACTGCTATGGTAGAGCAAGTCTTGCAAAGACATTGGAGACAGCCAGAGATGGGATATGGCTCCCAAAGGGAATGTCAATAGGAGCTATCACCTGCTCAGATGCCTGCTCTGCTGACTAGTAGCAGATGCAGTGATGGTCAGAGATAAGAGTCTTCTCCAACAGCATCAGGCTTTTTTTCCTTGGTGGGTGGCCAGGCAGCCTGCTCTGTGTTTGGGAGGCACCTTCTTTTCACATTGCCTAACCAAGTTTGTCAGATCTGTGTCTGCCCCAGATAAATCCATCAGACTGCAGTGCAGGGCACACAGGTCCCCAGCAGGACTTAGACAGCCTCTTGAGTTTCTCAGGAGCTGCTGATCATTGGCATTTGCAACCAAGCTCTGCTCCCCAGCTACTGTTCCTGGTGTACCTTCAGTTACCTTCCTCACATTTCTGTCTTGCTGCTGTGAACATTGGAGGGCT